TGCACCTTGTGGAACGAGGTTCCAGCCACTGTAGCCCGCGGGATCGTTGCAGCACTCAAGCCCGACCACCACGTCAAGGTGGCAGCTTTAGGTTGGGCTGCCACCAGCAAGTGCCCGCCTGCAATAGCTGACGATGTACACCGTTAAGAGCCTCAAGGAATTCCGGGTGCAGGGTGTCCATCTAAGTTACAGCGCCCAAGACTTTCGTTCATCTGTCTCTCGTGAGCGAGAGGCTCACAAAAAAGACTTCGTTTACTCGAACGCATGTTATACCGATGGCAGTATACTGCGCTTCTCCAGGTCTGTTTGCAAATGATCCGAAAGGATAGTTTCCATCGCTGAGGCACAATGGTGGGTGTGTCACTAGCCTGGAGTTGGTTAGGTTGAAACGTTTGCTTTCATTAATTTACACGATAACCCGCTGCTACCGCCGTGTAGAAACCATAGGTGAGTTAAGGTTGCTGAGGTTCCCGATGCTGAACTTCGAGTCACGCGTAGGTTTGGTTAGAGTAACATCGGTCAATCTGTGGTTGTCTGGAGCGCGCTTCGATAACCATAGACATCAACGCCTTATCGGAAGGGCATTCATAGGCATCGCGGTTTTATGTAGCGTGCCCCAATAAATATTTGAGGACGGGCCGTTCCACACACCAATGATGCAGAGTGCTATGCCGAGTCTATATATCTGTCAGCGAAAGGCATACATGGTTATAATATCATTTTCTAACCAGTCTTTTTAGAGTGCTCCAGGTTACTGAAGTTTTTCTGGCCTAGAAGAGGTATTTCGGAAATCGGTTCCTTGGCTTTTAAATCTGTGGGTACTACACGATGTGGTTTAATTCAAGTGGTCACTGGAAAATTACATTACACTAACTTTGCGTTCTGTCCACCGGTGCTCATATACAGGTCGGTGTCTTCTCACTGCACGTGCTGGTTCGTCAAGCCTCCCCGTCCGATACTGGGATACCAGAATGAGTCTCAGCTTACTTACCATTCGTGTTTAAGCCCTGTCCGCTGTTGTCGTTTTGAACTGTTCTATCGTGATTTCCACGTTGTAGCACCACAGATCAGAATCACGAGTGGCATCGGAAGGGACGACCGCAACTCACACTACACTGTCTAGTCTTCGGCCCTCATGGTTCTTTCGGGTGGCATGGCAGCAGGGCACCGAAAGTGTGCTACAGCTAAACGATTAATTTTTTTACCACCGAGCCAACGTTCTGCTCACCGTTCTCCGGTGTGCGGACCCGGGCA